ATAGATAGATAGATAGATAGATAGATAGATAGATAGATAGATAGATAGATAGATTGGACATGTCTTTATGGGGCATCTAATTGGGGAGATCCATCCCGCCTGACGGACAAGCTCTGAAATGTTGCCCTTCTGTTTTCAGATCATCCAAACCTCGAGCCGCGGCATTTTGTGGACGAAAAGGTGGTCAACGAAAACCATAAGGATTACATGTTTCTCGAGTGCATCCGCTTCATCACGGAGGTGAGGCCGAGCTTCTCCTTCTGTCGGTTTTCTAGTGTTTTTTTTCTTCTTCCTTTTAATATTTTCAGGCCAGGGATTAAGTGACTCAGCGGGTCCTGACCCCGTGGATAAAGGGGTCCCACCTGTATAGGGTTTCTCTGCCCTGCGAGGTAGATCAGTCAGAGGGTGAGAGGGCCCTCCTCGGTTTCATCCAGTGACGTTGCCGGTGGAAACTCTATCCTGCTTCTCTTGAGTCCCACCGGAGCATTTTTACAACTAGTCTGTGCTGGCTTTCATCTTTGTCATGATGATGGTGGTGGTGGTGGTGATGCCACCACATTAGATGCAGTTTGCTGTCGGCTCGATCTCACTGTGCTAGCTGGCTGTTTTGGACCAGCGAGACACACACACCCCCCAGGGAGCATCTGTTTCGATAAACCTAGAAAGGCGTTGGTGCCTTAGAAGCTGTATCGCATGGATAGAAGGCTGACCCAGGAAAGAGCAAGGCCCGGAGGCATTCACACAACAGCAGGCTCTCCAGTTCAACTGGGCTGCGGTCTTTGGCGTGTACCACCCCATGGGTGACGTGTCACCCCCTTTCTATTGCAAAGGGGCTACTGTGACCCGGCCCCCCCAGAGGGTTTCCATACCCCACCCTCTCCTTCTCTTGAAATTGAGAGGATCGAAAGTGAGTGGCCGCCCTGGCACCACCGACCGGCAAACGTTGTCGAGGCTGACCGACACGAACACCGTCTCTGACTGGGTCAGGATGTCACCCCTTTGATGAGCGAGGCTGCTCATCCCAGAAGGGATGTGTAAATACAGGCCCTGACATGGACTTCCTTCATGGCTCCCACTCAGCTGGCAATATCACACCCACGAACCGTGGTCGAGATGCGTTTGGTCCCGTAAATGGCGAATTGATTGTCCCGCCCGCTGGGTTCCCCCCCCTTGAAACACAGGGAATTGGAAACTTTCTGCCGGTCTGCAGCAAACCCCCCCCCCCGTGACCGAAAAGAAGACACGGCTCCCCAACCCTGGGCCCCTTTTCCCGCCTGGCTTCTTCGAAGGGCCCAGCGCTTTACAATCTCGCTTCCTTGTTTCGATACTTCCGTGTGACTGTTCCTATTTAATTTTTTTTTCTTTTTAAGACGGAAGGAGGGGGGGGAGAACCCGATGCTGTGTGATTTGCCCGAGGCCACCCAGCGAGCGAACGGCTCAGCCAGAAACTCGTTTTTCTCTCTCTCTCCCCCCCCCCGGGCTGAAGTCCAACCCACGATCTTCAGATCGAGCTGGCTTGTAAACCACACCCTTGTGTGCCGAGCGAAAGGTTTACCTCCCCGGTTTCCTTCCCTGTTTTTCCAGAACTGTTTACAGCTTCGATGCTAACCCCCCCTCCCCCCCGGCTTCCCCGACACCCCAGGTGCCCACGTGTAAGCAAGAGGACGCAAATTCGGTGCCTGATTTGCGAGGCGAATTTCTGACCAATGTTCGGAAATAATTTGCTTTTTCCCCTCCCTGTGAGGGCAACGACTCTTTCTGCACCCCGAAAACGGGTTCTCCAGCTGAGACCTCCCGTGGCTTTTGAGTAAAGAGAGCAGCGTGCCTCAACAGAGAGGAGGATTGCGTTGCGAGTGCTTGTGGTACACAACCCTTGTGTCCCAACCCATCCTCGTTTATTGTAGCATCGTGAGTAGCATGTTAGCTCAGGCTTTGGAAGAGAGATCTTTCAAATCCTGCCCCCCATTGACCTTGGATTCATCATACACCCTTCCTCCTGACCTACCTTCCAGGGTTTTTGAGAAGGTCAAGTACAGTAGGACTCCTGTATCTGCGGGATCCGTATCTGCGGATTCATTTCCCCCCAGCCTGAAAATATGAAAAGAAAAATAATAGAAATAACACCGTGTTTCCCCGAGAACAAAACAGGGTCTTATATTATTTTTTTGCTCCCCCCAAAAAATGAATTAGAGCTTATTTCCAGGGGATGTTTTATTGTTTTCATGGACAAACCATCTACATTTATTCAGTTGCAGTCCTGTCACCTACTTCTGGTGGCTACCCAAGGGTGGAGGGAGGGGGTTTTGCTTCACTGGGGCTTATTTTTTTGGGTAGGGCTTATTTTCCGGTGTGGGGGGGAAGCAAGGGAGATTTCTAAAGAAGAAGTTAGCCGAACTGGCCAGAAGAGAGAGCCAGAGACCCTGCTTTATAGAGCGTTCACTTTAATCCGCGTTCTTCAGCATCCGCGGGGAGGGGGCAAGGGCTGGAACGGATCCCCCGCAGACACCAGAGTCCTTCAGTAGAGAGTAGAACGGCTCCCTGTACAGTATTCTTCTCTGCTTTTTATAGGCAAGGGTGGTGTAAACGTAACAAAGTACAGATATTTTGCCTATTGCTGTGTTAGCTCACTAGGTGGCGCCCAAGTGCCGCGTCTTCGGCTCCCCCCCAAGGGCGCTTGAGTGACCCCTGGTGGCAGAGCGCCACCATGACAGTTCCCACGGAACAGAAAGGAGGGGACCTAATCCCAAAAAAGATAAACAAATGAAAAAATAGCCCATGGGTTGTTTTTATTCCGGGCCGCATAAGGGTGCCAGTCAGCTCTCAGTTGGATGAAAGCTGTTGTTCAAGAGAAAAATGCAGGTCCCGAGCATCTCTCTAGACAGGCTTCTGTTGGGACTTAGGCGCCTTGTCCGGATTCGGATCCCGATTCTGATCTTTATTACGGTCCCCGACCAGCAGATGTCCAGTATTTAGAGCATCCCATCTAATTCCCCCCCCTCCAGTCTATATTGGGGTCTCTTGGCCCCCGAAGGCCAGATTTTGGGCAACGAGGAAGGGCCTCCATTCATTTTCATAATCCCCAAAGTGTGTGGCCTTGTTTTTCCTTTGTTTGCCTCGCTGTGTGACGCTGTCTTAACGGCTACAGATTTCATCCCCTCCAAAACAAAAATCTGGCTGCTTTTCTTGCTCCGTAGGCGCAAAACCCTGTTGTTTTCTCCTCCGGAGGCCCAGCCTGGAGAGCTTCGCACAGACGGCCACCTCTCCCGGCTGGGGCTGGTCCCTTTGTGTGTGAAGCGTATCCCCCCCCTCTAGACTGCGCATCCAGCCGGCCTCCCCCCCCAAAAAAGCTTGGGGAGAGCGAAGCACCCCTTGGCCGACTGCAGGGGTGCCCCTCAGCGGACAGGTGGGGGGGAGATCTAACCAGGAGAAAGATGCCAGCTCCTCTCGTGCAAATTTTGGGTGCCAAGAACACCAGGCCAGCCTTGTGCTCCTCCAAAAAGCCATGCAATTCGATTTCGGCCCTCTTCTTCCCTATGCCACCCCCTCCACTCCAGCCCCCCCCTCCAGTTTCAATCTGGCTTCTAAATTGGGCTTTTTTTTAAATTTAAGGATGGGCTTTGGCTTTCAGCTGGAAGCCTCGGTCAGGAAGGTGCTCTACCAGGCTGCTGATCGCCCCCCTCTCCCTTCCTTCCACCTCCTCCTTTTTCTTTTTAACTGACAGAAGAACCATTTACAAAAGGCCGATTCTCTTGGGAACGGAGAGGGAGGAACGCAGAGCGCCTGTGAGTAATTTCCTGCTCAATATGGCTGCCCTGACTCACTCTGTCTCCCCTGGGGTCACTGCAGGCCTGCGTTCTCTCTCTCTCTCTCTCTGCTTTCCTCTCCAGCTAGCCAGCTTGCTTTTCTTCTTTCTATTCCCTTTTGTGACCAGAATGAGCTAAGATTTCTTTTTTTATATATATATATAGGAGTGGAGAAGGAGGGAAGTAGGCGAGAAGGAGGAGGGGGGCCTTTCTCGGTTCTCTACTTCCCTTTCTTTCCTTCCTTTCTTCCCAGTCCAAAATGTTCCCAAGCTCTCTGGACGGAGCAGATGTTGGTTTTGAGAAGCTTGCTCCCAAACGGGTGGGGTGCCCTTTGGGTCCCAGACCCCGAGCAAACGGGAGCCAGGGCTCTGTCTCCGGGCCAGACGAAAGGTGGTCCAGTTTTGCAAGCTGGCTCGCGAAACCCGCACGGCCCCGACAGCCGGGCTGCGCTTTGCTTCACGGGGTGGGCCAAGGGATCGGCGAGCGCCGAGCATCCTACATCCGAGCAGACCGTGATTGTCTGGGTGGATGTTTCGATTCGAGAGTTAGGGGGGGTCGGTGGAGCTGGAATAGCGAGGGTCACTTATCCAAGACTTGACATTGCCGGGTTCTGAATTTGACCCTCTCGAAGCTGCTTTTTTAGACATCGAATGGGTGAATTGAGTCCCCAAGTTCCTTTCCTCCAAAGAACAGGATTTGTCGTCTCAGAACAGCAGAGCAGGAAGGGGTCCTATGAGATCATCCAATCCAGCCCCTGTGAAAGGGGCACCGTGGGGGAATCGAACTCCCAACCTCTTGCTCCGCAGCCAGATCCCAAAGCCACTGAGCTATCCAGCCAGCTGAATTACCTAATTTGGGTGTTTCATTTCCTCCTCCTCCTCTTAGAACTGCAGAAGTGGAAGGGACCCAGTGGAAGAATCAAACTCCCAACCATACCTAAACTATTGAGCTGCCCTGCAGTTCTCCTCGGGTGGAGGACCCTCGGATCCCCCTACTCCGCGGCGCGGAGGTGTGTTTTTGCCCCACAATCCCGAGGATTTTCAAGGCAGCCTTTGGTGATTCGACCTCTCCCATCAAGTCCGTCGATTCCACAGCCCTGCCTCGGGTTGTGGCTCACAGGCTGAAGCGACGGGACGTCGGCCCGGGCATCAGGACGGTTCCCATGCCTCCCTTTTGAGCCCAGCGGGGAGGCCACGGCGTTCCCGTGGGCGTGGCTAATTGGGAACCGATGTGTTAGAACTTTTCTTTCTTTGGACAGGTCGAAAACGTGATGAAATCTGAAATAACCTCTGTTCAGCGAAAGCTGGCAAATCGTCGCCCGCCTTTGTGTGACGGGCCACAGCCCTGTAAATCTGAGGGAGATCCTCAGATGCTCCACTCTCATTTTCTTTCCTCCGATCGTGGGAGAGAGAAAGAGAAAGGGGGAAGCTTCAGGCCTTTTACACAAGCATCGTCAGAGCTCAGGGGTTTAGGCATCTGGCCGTGGAGCCAGAGGTTCGAATCCCCAGCACGCCTCCTTGACCAGGACTGGACTTGAGGATTCCCGTAGGGTCCCTTCCAGCTTTGAAGTTCTAAGAGGAAGAGGAGGAGGATTATCAGTTCCGTGCAGAAGCCATTTAGTAATTCTGGGGAACATAGGTAAGAAAACTAGCGCTCTACCTCTCTGTTGTGTGTCTGTGTCCCACCAGGAAAACTCAGTCTCACTCTGGCTTGCGTGAGGGCTGCGAGGAAGCAGAATTCTACATCCGTTGCAGCTGTCGGGAGATATGAAAAAAAAATTGGACCTTGGGGTGTGTGTGTAAGAGTGTGGGAGGTTTACCAACAGTGCTTGAGTTATGAGATCACTGGATTCTCAGCATGCAAGCTGTTTCTTTCCCTCTACTTATGTGCGTGTGTGTGTGTGTGTGTGTGTGGTCACTGGATTCTCAGCATGCGAGCTGTTTCTTTCCCTCTGCTTATGTGCGTGTGTGTGTGTGTGTGCTTCCAGAGCATTTTAACACAACCGCACGGAAGGCTCGTTTGTAAGAAACCGGTTTGGCTTTTGGAGTTCACACCGAGCGGAGATCCAAAGTGTCGCAACCTTTGTTCTTTGCTCTGGAAATATCTAAAACTCGCCGGTGGGTCTGCACACACTTCCTTCTACATTTTGCTTTGGAGGGGACCAGTTATTTTTAAGCCGGCCTTGTCAAAAGATCCTGGTCCTCCTCCTGAGTTCCTTCTGAGCCCGGGCGCCTCTGGCTTTGTGGTTTATAACGTCACGGAAAACTTCCCCGGCAAGTTTGGCTGCATTTTTCTCTTCCCTTGAGAAACTTCACCGCGTTCTTAGGAGGGGCCCAGAAATCGCCTTGGCCCTTCCCACCGTCCGACTCCAAGGGTTTCCCTGGGCTCCTCGTGCTGCAGCTGTTGTTATTAAACGCAGTAAAAACCAATAAAAAGGATTTATCGCCGTTTCTTCCCCATGAAAAAAATAAGAGTTTAAGGCCATCTGCAATGCAGGAGGGCCTCTGTATCCACAGGATCAGTATCCGCTGATTGACTTTGCCACGGTCTGAAAATATGAAACGAGAGATCCTAAAACTGTATATTTCTAAAGGTAAAGTTACCAGAACTTGCCACAAGAAGGATCCAGAGATGATGCTATGTATGCCGTTCGCTATTATAATAGCGTTTGCTGTAATCTGCGTTTTTCAGCATCGACGGAAGGGGGTCTTGGAACAAATCCCCCGCAGATTCAGGGGATAGGAACAACCTGATGCTTTTCGCCTTTAAGTCCACGTAATAGCGCCTACCTGTTACATAAAGATATAAATGGAGGAGGATGGTAATATGTTTGTTTGTTCAGGAAGGTCTCGGAGGTGGTAAATGCTAGAAAGATGTTGCTTTGTTAATGAAAACATGGAGAATATTTCTTACTAAACTTAGGTGTTGCATCTGGTTTAATTTTTTTAATATGTCATATTTTCCCCCCACATTGCCTATGTCTGGACTTCCATACCTATGCCCTGTTTTTCGGTCATTCTGATAGATGTTGTAAAACGTCAAGGTTTTCGGTTGCCCATCCGGTCGAGCACCAGAGGTGGGCCTTTGGTGAATTGCCAGGGAGGCTCTCTCTGCTCGCCCGAGGTGGGGGTCAGGAAGATGGCCTTCTGACAGCATTGCCTCTTGACCTGCGCTCCTTTTGCCTTCCAGATGAAGACCGGCCCCTTCGCTGAGCACTCCAACCAGTTGTGGAACATCAGCGCCGTCCCTTCCTGGTCCAAAGTCAACCAGGGCCTCATCCGCATGTATAAAGCTGAGGTGAGCATTCACGGACACAGGCGGGCAAGACCTGGTGGATCCTTCCCCTTCTCAAGAGACCTCTAGTGTGGGTACTTAACCCGAGGAAATGGTGGTCACCCCTGTTTCCACGGGTGTCAGTCCCAAGCCCCTTGTGGATGCTGAAACATGTGGATGAGAGCAAACCTGTAGTCTCCAGCTCCCTCTAGGGGCCAGTTCTGGTAACTTTTGGTTCTTCCAGGACTTTGGGCCGTAGAAACCGATTGGCCAATGTGATTCCCCCGCTCGTTCTAGAGCAAAACTTTGATGCTCCTCGTTTTTTGGTTTAATTCATGCTTTTCTGAATCTCTCTCTCTCTGTGTGTGTGTCTTTGGCTCTATCCCTGCTTCCTTGTTCCTTCCTCCCCTTCTCAGTGCCTGGAGAAATTTCCCGTGATCCAGCACTTCAAGTTCGGCAGCCTGCTTCCCATCCAGCCGGTCGGATCTTAAGAAGGTTTTTGTTCGGCTGGGGGAGTCGTTGGGGGGGGCAGCATCGGGAAGAGTGGGGCGGACGGGGTGCCCCCTTCTTCCCCCCTTCTCCCCCAGCCCTCTCTGGCGATGCGCTTGGGGAACCTCACATCGAAGAAGGGGAAAAGGGGTAGCAAAACACGAACCCCACGGAAATCCCAACGCTCGACGAAACTTTTGGACCACACGAATCCACGTTCTCTGCACCGAACTTGCCCTTCGCCTGGATTTTCTTTCCATTTTCCCTTTGTTTTGTTTTTTTTTCCCTTCCAACGCCTGGTATACACTGCACCGGGGAAATACAAGCGCTTTCGGTGGAGAGGGCGCGAGTTCCGATCCACGGTTGGGGCTCTCCCGTGGATGAAATTGGTGTTTGCTTCCCCCCCCCAAAGGCAGTGAGTGGGGTCTCTTTCCCCCCCCCCCAAAGGCAGTGAGTGGGGTCGAGGAGGGAAGCTTGGCAGTGTGGGTTTGAGGGCCTCGTTGCTCAGATGTAGTTCTCCATGATTTTTTTATGGACGTGTGGGTGGGTGTTTGTGTGTTGCAAGAGGGAGCATCTCTGAGAGAGCGGTCCGGGGGGGGGGACACACACATTTTTAAGGAACGGCAGAGCTCGGACGCAAGTTGGAGGCAGAAGGTAACCAAGAATGTTTTAAGGGGAACCATCCTCCTGTCTCTTCTCCCACCCCCGTTCTTCCTGCCGTTGGTGGCACGCCGATCAGGACTTTTTTCAGTTTGACTGCACCAGGGGGCAAGTGCCCTAAATTATTTCAACAAGCCCGCTTTGCCGGGGGGGGGGGAAGGCTCTGCTTCAAGCCATGCACAACTGGGCTCTCTAAAAATCTCTCGGACCACAACACCCCTTCAGCAGCCATGCTGGCCGAGGATGATGGGTGACTGGTCCATTACCTCTGGAAAGCATCGGGGGGGGTGGAGGGTGGGAATCAACCAGTTGGCAACAAAAGAGGACTGTGCCTCCTGGCTGACCCCTAAGCAGGAATGGGGGGCAGCGCCACACCCCTGTGTTTCCATTTCTGTCTTTGTGTCTCTCAGCACCTCTGAGTTGAGTTGCCGGTTCGGTGGTTGGTGGCGGTTCGTCTACTGGCTGAACGGGTGCTTCAAAGCCCCGCCTCCTCCGGTGGGCGCCCACTCAGCGGCAGCATCTCGACTTCCCTGCCCCGCCTCCTCTGGGCGCTGGTTCCCAGTGGGCGTCCCCTGGAGGAGGCGGGGCTTTGAACCACCAAAACGCCCGTTCGGCCCCTAGACGAACCGACACGAACCGATCGTTCATGCCCATCTAGACTAAAACACTGGAGAAGGTTTGCTAACCTCAACGGGAACAAAAATTTGACCAAGGAGGCTCCCTAACAGAATTTGGAAGGGTTCTCCTCGGATGCTTTGAAGCGAGCCGGCGCCATCAACTCCCCTTAAACCGGTTCAAATGTGTAGTGTAAACGTGACACCCACCCACCCAGTTATGGCCTTGCAGATCTCCTATCTGACACACACATACACACTGTCTTTCCTGCAGGCTTCTGGGGCTGCCAGCTACGCAGGGCTGCCCCCCCCCGGTACTCCCTCCCAGTGTCTTGACAATCGCCCAAAGCCCCTCCACCATTTAACCACGGAGTTTGTGCGAAGCCTTGAATGTTCTCTGCACAATTGCATAATTTCTCTCCCTTTTTTTAAACATGGAGGAATGTCTCTGGATTCCTGCTGCTTCTTAGCAGCTGGCCGGAGAAGCTGTGGCCAAAATGGCTGAGCCGGAGATGAAGAGCTACAGCTATATCCTCGTTCTAAAACAGATAGATAGTCACACATTTTTGGGAGGCTGGATCACCCCCTATTCAGTGTCTTTCTTGTGCACAAAGTTTTTTTCCTCTTCCTGAGAATCTAAATCTTAATTGTCGGTTGACCAGCTGTTTCTAGTTGCCATAAAATTAAGGAGCGGCGGTGGATGATGGGAGGTTGTGTTTTGTTTCTAACGTGCCTCTGCTTCCGAATTGATGGCGTTGCTTAGAACTGCCTCCATAGCAGTTGACCGCCATTCCTGAGCCTGCATCTGCTCCTTTGGGTAGAAAAAGTGGGTGCGTTTGCATGCGCAAAAAATTCTTTGAGCATGGAGAGAGGCCTCCGCAACTTGCCACTTCAGTTTGGAAAGTTGCTGTAGGGACAACAATGTCCAGAAGTCCCTCAGCAGCTCAGCCGCAGCAGTGCGCTCCCAGGAGTTGTTGTCCGTGAAATTGTAACTTTTCCAAGCCTTGGTTGCAACTCTGATCAATACAAACTAGTGGAATACTTTTAGATGGATTGGCGCTTTTGGAAATACAGTAAGAACCTTATGTCCTTTGGGGATTGGTTCCATGACCCCTGTGGATACAGGAAACCGTGTATAATAGTGAACATTATAGATATAGAATGATAAGAGGGGGGAAAAGATTTTTCACATGCATTACCAGAACTTGCCACTAGAGGGTGTCAGGGACCATTCTAGGTACAGTATTCTTCAACAAGTACTACTGAATTCATAACACCGTCTCTGGCTCCATCTAGTGGCGTGTTTTGTTAATACATGTGAAAATAGTGTGTGTGTTTTTGGTTCATTTTCTTTTAACATTTTTAATATTTTCTGGCCGTTGATAAGAAACCATGGATAAGGGGGTCCTACCATACTTGTTCAGAGGCCTGGTCATATACTCTTTTTGAATTCCCAATGAATTCTCCCAGAAAAGCTACCCTGGGGAAGATTTTGGACCCAAATGAGAAAGCTCTCCAGCTGCTAACCCTTGCATTCTGGGGCCACTTTCGATCTTAGATTTTGGGCTAAACTCTGTTCCTTCTTGATGGGGGCCGTGTCCAACATTTGTGGTTTACAATGTGGCTTTATGGATCCTTTCTGCCCCTGTATTGGATATTCTCAAATATCCACACCCATGATACTTGATCAGTTGTGCAGATGGGTTAAAGGAGATGTGCCCCGGCAGCAGACCTACACCTCCCATCTGTCACAGCCAGTTGAGGATGGTGGGAGTTGCTGTCCTTCGAAATCTCTGGGGAGCCGAAGGTTCACCACCTCCCCCGTGGAGCCACATAATTAAAAAAAAGAATCAGGGGCAGGAAGTTCTCGGGAAGCTGGTGGCTTTCTCTGGTGAATCCTGTGCTGCCAGTCGCATTGGGGGGGAGAGGGTCAGGTAAGGCTTGGAGAGGAGAATCAATCCTCCCCATTTAAAAAAAAAATCTAATGGGGAACCGGATCTTGGGGTGGGGGAAGGGGGGGAGTAATTTGGCATTAAGGACCATGACATAATCTCTCTGCTGCAGGAATGAGGTCTGGTCTTTCATTCTCTCAAACCTTTGGGGTATTCTGCCCGGGTCTTCCACTGACTCTGACGGTGTGTCTGTTTTGCTGCCCAAACGAATGCTCGTTTGCTTGCTTGTCCGTCGGTCTCCGGCCCACGTCGTTCCACGCGCATGTGTCTCCCAGCTGGGGATCTCCACCCAGCGAACACCCGGCTGGGGCCGTCGCCGCCGTTCCCTGTCCCCCTCTCTTGTCTGGCTCCTGAGCTTCCTTCGTGTTGTGGTTTGAATTAAAATGTTCCGCGTTTTGCACCTGCCGCCCGCCTTGGTTTGTTTCCTGATCTGCTGTTGAGAACAGAGGGCGGGATGGAGGACACCGGGGGGGGCTGGGAGGGCAGTTGCTTAAAACCACACACTCACGGACAGCTTTCTGGCGTTTGTGTCATCTCATGGGGCCTCCATTGAAATGGTACCATCTTGGACTTACCAAAAGAGAGAGAGAGAGAGGACTCCTATATCTGCAGATTGGTTCCAACCCCCCCCCCTTGCGGATGCTGGGAAAGGTGGATAATTGTTGTTAATCGTTAAGTCGTGCCCGACTCTTCGTGACCCCATGGACCAGAGCATGCCAAGCCCTCCTGTCTTCCACTGTCTCCCGGAGTTGGGTCAGATTCATGGTGGTTGCTTCGGTGACACTGTCTAACCATCTCATCCTCTGTCCTCCCCTTCTCCTCTTGCCTTCACACTTTCCCAGCATCAGGGTCTTTTCCAGGGAGTTTTCTCTTCTCATGAGATGGCCAAAGTACTGGAGCCTCCGCTTCAGGATCTGTCCTTCCAGTGATCACTCAGGGTTGATTTCCTTCAGAACGGATAGGCTTGTTCTCCTTGCAGTCCATGGGACTCTCAAGAGCCTCCTCCAGCACCACAATTCAAAGGCATCAATTCTTCGGCGGTTTGCTTTCTTTATGGTCCAGCTCTCACTTCCATACATCATTACTGGAAAAACCATATCTGACTATGCGGACCTTTGTTGGCAAGGTGATGTCTCTGCTTTTTAAGATGCTGTCGAGGTTTGTCATCGCTTTCCTCACAACAAGCAGGCATCTTTTAATTTCATGGCTGCTGTTCCCATCTGCAGTGATCGTCGAGCCCAAGAAAGTAAAATCAACATCTCCTTTTGTTTTGTGGACTCCGCATCTGGGCATGCAGTCTTTGTTTGCCGACACGGTTTCCCATTTCCGAAGGTCTGCCCAAATCCTGCGTCTGGGTCTCTAGCGGCTGAAAGCACTCCGTAGATGCTCAGAGGCTTTTAGGGGCCTCTGACTCCAGATTTGCAGGGTCAAGACGTCCACTGAAGGTTTTAGTCCAAACTTTTGAAGAGTGTGTTGAATCCACCCGCCAACGTTGCTTCATCACCTTGGATAGCTATGCCTTTAAAGTTCCTGCCAAGCCAAACCCTCTGGAGCGGACACCTGCTCCCCCCCTGCAAGGCAAACTTGCATTTGGATGGGCAGGCCGGCCCTTCTTTCTTGGGTTTTCCTCCCATTGAGCCCAACAACGCGCTTGTTTGGGAGAACCTCCCAGGGGAGGATCGGCGTGAAGGCACAAAACCTGGGAGATGGGAAGGGACGCAGAACCTGTGCAGCGTGGTGGTGGTGGTGGTGGGGGAACAGCCTCCGTCTGTCGCCTCCCGTGCAGCGTGCATGTTGCTGACATCATGATTAATTTATCAGGGGCTTATGAATATGCAAATGAGCCTGGCTGGGGGCTTTCAGGAGAGAGAGAGAGAGAGACCCTGTTTGCACACAGCTAGAGCATGTGTTTGCAGGGATGTGCGTAGCTCTCTCGAAAATACAAACGAAAGCCAAGTCGTTGCTAAATCGTCTCCGGGAAGCAGTTCCTCCTTGAAGCACAGTGTCTTATTTATTTATTTAAAATATCTGTCCCCTGCCTTTCTCCTTAAAAAGGACCCAGAGCGGCTTACATCATTTGAAGGCAACTATTTTAAAGCGAAAAACAACGACTGAGTCTACGAAGGTGGCTCGCCCCATAAAAACCTTGCTTAAACGCCTCCAGAATGTTCTCCAGCAGCCT